CTGTTAGGAGAGAGTGAAACATTCTTCTGTCCTGTAGACAGGCAGAGTTCTAGGCATTTAATGTTATATATAGTTAGAAAATATTATTTGAATGAAATTGGATAGATGAAAAAGCAGTATGACATGCAAAAATCCTCTCTTATGTCTCTGAAAAGTTGGTCATATTATCCTTGATTGTGTCTTCATAGTAACAAAACTATTGTTTTACACTGTGTTTTTATTGGGCTAGCCTTTTAAAATCATCTTGCAAGCAGTGTGGCTGGGTTTTCAGAAGACATTTTGATAATCAATAGCTAGGTCTCTTTCGAAGGAAAGTAAATGTCATATCCTGCCTTTATGTTTGGGAAATGTAATGAATAACAGTAACAGCTGGCATTAGAAATAAATTAGAAGACTGAAATACTTTTATTGTATGTAGAGGCTATTTGAAGAGCAACATATTATAGTTACATGTGCTCATTTACGTATTGGCAAATGGCTTCAGTTAAAGAAATTGCTCATTAGTATTCCTCCTGCAAAAGCTTAGAATCAAGTTCAGTGGCATGATTAGTAAGATGATAACAAAATAACATGAGTCTACCAATTTTACTAGCATTATATAACATTGTAGAAATGTGGCCACACTATTAATGCAAGTTTACCTTTGATGTGTTTGATCTGGTTTTGTTGTGAAAATCCTGTGTGTCTGAAGTTAACCATCAAGTGGAAAATAAAGGATAGGGCCTGAAAAGTTAGCTAAAGTGGCCTTCCAGATGAAATAACTTCCTTATCCCTCTTAGTATTTTATGGGCCATTGGAGATTTTAAGACCTTACCATGCCTTGTTATGCAGCTATTATGCCTGTAGGTTATTTCTGAAGGCAATTCCGTCTCTGTGTGTGTGTGTGTGTGTGTGTGTGTGTGAAATATCCAAATCTTCACTGTTTTCATTAAACTGTAATCTGTTTTCTAAGAGAGGTAGGAATACTGGGTGCTACGCTTTTGCTAATTTCCCTGTTCTTTGGTAAATATCAGGGAAAATAATCCCTGACTTTTTGTAATTTTTTAACTGAAAACAATGACAATCTCCAGCCATCACTCAGTCTGAAAGTGAGCTTTCTATTTTCAGCAGAGTGATTTTGACAGAACACTTAGAGTTCTGATGTCATTTTATGGAATATCTATTTCAGGTCTCATAACTTCATTTTCCACTAAAAGCCAATATTCCTTACAGCATTGTTTCTCCAGCAGTAAGACGTAGCCTCCTTTGCTGAACTTCCATGATGTCTGAAAGAAGTGTCACGATTAGGTAACCCAAGAAATAAAGGAAATTAGACATAATGAAAGGAGTCATGATGGAAAAAAATTCCATGTTTTTTTTTAATTTGTTTTTTTTTTGTGTATGGCATTCTCTTTTTCAAATGAAGTCAAACTTATCTTATGAAAGCAAATGCTTGGCATAAAGAAGTTTGAAAATAATTTTATATAAAAAAAATTGGTAAAGCGTTTTCAGCTATATCTACCAAGCACTCTGAAGTACGTCTGCATTAACTTCTTCCTATCCTGTCATTACAGGGTGATGAATTCACATCCTTGTGTATTTCACTTATTCATCTTTTGTCATATATCTTTTATTCTACACTTTGGTTTTAAAGCTTCCCCCAAGACTTTCACAAGATCTTTTCTTTTGAGTGCTAGGAAACAAAACAAACTTCCTTTAGATACCTTAGCCAAGATTCATCCAACACAGGTAACACTTGGCAGTTAATACTTGGAGTTTAGCCTTTTTTTGAGGTTGAACAATGAATCAAGGCTTTGTTTGGTCTGAAGAGATTGTGTGTATATTTAGGAAAACCCTGTATTACATGGACAAGGCAATTTTCATAGCTTTGACAGTATGAAAATAATTGAGAAATAATGAAGCAAACCAGTAGAAGAAAAATGAAGGAAGAATTGAAAGAACTGTGTTAAATACTGCTGTGAAAGATGGCTTTTCATCTGAAACTTTCATGAGCTCAGTTCATCAATTTATCATTACCATTGTTTTGATGGAGCTGGGGATTAAATTTTGTTAGTTGTACAACCATATAATCTCTGCGTTTTAAAAATTATCTTGAGTCTCTGCTGCTCTTTTTTTATTTCTAGTACTGATTCTGACTGCTTCATGTAAGACTAGAAGAAAACCTGCAACAACCCCTAGTTACTTTGTCAACTAGATAAGTATTCTTGAATAAAAGCTGACTGAAGTACTTTGGGTTAGATTCCCAAGGCCAATTGTTTTTCCTGATCTTTCCTGATCAGAGCAAGTCCAGAGGAGGGCCACGAGGATGATAAGAGGGCTGGAGCACCTCCCGTATGAAGACAGGCTGAGAAAGTTGGGGCTGTTCAGCCTGGAAAAGAGAAGGCTGCATGGAGACCTCAGAGCAGCTTCCAGTATCTGAAGGGGGCCTACAAGGATGTTGGGGAGGGACTCTTCATCAGGGACTGTAGTGGTAGGACAAGGGGTAATGGCTTCAAACTTAAACAGGGGAAGTTCAGATTAGATATAAGGCAGAAGTTCTTCACAGTGAGGGTGGTGAGGCACTGGAATGGGTTGCCCAAGGAAGTTGTGAATGCTCCAACCCTGGTGGTGTTCAAGGCCAGTTCGGACAGAGCCTTGGGTGACATGGTTTAGTGTGTGGTGTCCCTGCTCATGGCAGGGGGTTGGAACTAGATGATCTTAAGGTCCTTTCCAACCCAAACTATTCTATAAGTCTATGATTCTGTGATCTTGTCTCGTTGCTGTCAATAGCTACATCAGAGTGACTGTATCTGTTCCATGTAAACAGCTTCATTTAAAGTCAATGCATCATTTTAAATGTTAATTAGATTTCTACTTAAATATAGAACAGGTAGCATTTGGGGGATTTGAACTTTTCATATTATTATGCAATCAGGATGGGGATTCAACAACAGAAAGAATTGGTTTTACAGAAGGATTTGACAGCAGCAGTTTCCATTCCCAGTATTCAGAAAATTAAATGGACTGTGTCTTGTTTCCTAGAACACTGGTTCTTGATCTGCTGCTCTTTTTGATGGGTTTGCCACAAAAAAATAGGTATGCAGCCATGTTGCTGAAAATGACTTTTCTATGTGCTATAGAAATAGATGGGTTGGTTGGAGCTGCTCTTATGCTTGTTAATTTTACCACTGTTAGTTTTCATAGCTGACTGCCTGTAAAGTTATGTTAAAATAATTTAATTCTATTTTCTTCTTTTCAAAGAAAGAATAAATGTTCTATAGTTTACTCTACTGTTCTCACAGTACTGCTTTTAGAGAGAATTGATAAGCCCCCTCAGTTCAAACTGACATCTTTGTGTAGTATGCAAGGTCTAGGGAGGACTGGAGGTTATGGTTCTGTGATTAGAACAATAAAGTTTTCTGCAAGTTCCTCTTTTCACTTGGATATGTCAGGAGAATTTTGATGTTTTTGAGTTTTTTGTGCTTTATTAAAGTTTGTGTCATGAGAATGAGTTATCATAGATTTTAATTTCCCTAATATAGATTTCTTTTTCCATTATACATTCTGTGGTAGCACCTATAATAACAGCAGAAATTGGCGCTTCATTAATTCATGCTCAAGGTAAAACCTGAGATGGAGGCAAAACAAAAAAAAAAAAAAGAATATAGAACAATTTTTCTGACACACTGAAGTTTCTTAACATAATCCAGAAATGGTCCAGGAGTTATCTTTCTGATGGTGAGATTCCTAGAGTGAAGGAAACACCGTAGAATGATTTTTCTTGACAGTAGAGTAGTAGTATTTTGCAGCTGGCCAGCTTGGACAATGCAATGAGCTGAATTTGAAATATTGCATAAATACCTGCATATGTTCAAGCTACTCTTGTCTGGATTGCACTGAAGTCATCACAGACTTGTAAGTTACCTTACAATATCAGGTAATGGGATGTCATATGAAAGAAGATCCAAAATATCTGTTTTGCTATCACTTTCAGGAAGATATGTGTTTAAGGACATATAAACCCATTTGAATCTAAATATCATAGTATGATAAATTTTTTAAACACTTTTAAAAATGAAATTTCATAAAAGTTTTGCCTTGTAAGTGCAGATTAAATTCAGAAGCTTCCTATGAAACATGCAGGAACAGCTACGTTCCTGTCACTAAGAACTGGAACTAAAGCAGGAGTAGGAGACCTGTGGGGGTATTTTATCAGATTGTCAGTATCCTGACACATCAGTATCAGCACAGTGTTTTGGATTCTGTTTACAGATTTCTTCTTTTTTTTCTTTCTTCTCAGGCTTTAGAAGACCAGGTATGGGACCTGCTGCACGAAGCAGACAAGGCAGCAGAGGAGAACAAAGAAAAGAGTCAGGTTTATGATGCCATGGCAGAGACCCTTGGGGATGCATGGGATGCCCTTATCATTATGTTAGAAAAGCGACAGGCACTTCTGGGACTTACTTCAGTGTTCTTTGAAAATGCCCTGGAGGTTTGTATTTAAATCAAATGACATTTAATTTGAAACCTCCCATATCTTACATGTACTTTAAGAGATATTTATGATGTCTCTAAAATTTGTACAGAAAATTACAGTGAAAAATGGAACTGGTCAAAACCCTAAAATATTGAATTCAGTGGAAATGGACATTCTGCATAATATCTTTCATTCCTTATCATACAAATAATTTGGCATTGAAAAAACTAAATTCTCAGATGCCACTGATTGTCCATTGAAGGTTTTACACCTAAATATTCATACAACTGTTGTAGTTATACAAACTAAACATGAGTCTAACTTGCCAGTCCTTTACCTGAAACTTCCATGTGCAGATGTGCACAAATGGACAATTATGTGAGCTCAGAGACAGATTTTGGCGTTGTTTTTCCCTGTTCACTAACTTCTCTGTATCTCGTATACTAATTCACTGTTATTCAGGGAACTAAAGCAGAGAGGGATTCCATGCAGTGCAGGCATGTGTTCACTCTGTGTAGCCTCACATTCAGTTTTACCCACATCCCTGGAGCTTTGAAGAGTTTAATAATTCTCCCTGATAATTTTGTTTCTACTATAGCCCAGTGCCACCTAGAAGTTGCAGAAGCCATTCTACTGCTACCTGTCATAAGAACTCCAAGATCATCAATCTACTAATTATTGCATCCTGGTAATGTGTAGGATACAAATAAATTAGTACAGAGTTGGCATAAATATTAATATGATAAATTATGTACTAACAAAAGTTAATCTAGTGCAGACTATATCCTTAATTGGCTAGCTGAATTGCCTCTGCAACAGGCTTATATCATTAAAACAAAATGCAGCAGCTGGAGCACAGCACAAATTACGCCTGTTCCATATAAAGGGATGAAGAAATGCAACATTGATTTAAATAGGAGCTGTTGAAACTTCTTATGGAAAAGCTTTTCTTGAAATGACAGCTTGTGATTATGGAAATCTTTGGTTTATTGTGATAAAACACAAAACATCTTAAGAACAGTCTTTAGTGAAAATCAGAACTCAAACCACAATTCAAAAGTCAAATCAGATATTGATACCCAATGGATTTCTTTTATAGATACAGATCAAGAAGGAGAAAAATGTAGGCCAATAGAAAAGACAGACAAATCCGATCCTTGGTTTTTTTATCTTCCTTAATTTCACCTTAAGTTTCAACATCTCTGCTTACACTGAACACGAATTTGAACTCTAGTGGTTTCTTCATTCTTGAAGTGAAGCAGCAGAATTGATAAAAAATGGCGAAGTTGCAGAATATGCCTGAACTCTCTCTGAGCTACTCATACTTGGAATTGTACCTGCAAGGGTGGAAGCCACATAAAGAGTTCCAGTCTTCATTTTAACAATATCAGCATATTACCAAATCTGCTGTAAATCTCCCTGAAACACAGCATGTTTCAATACATGGAACCCATGGAAAAATGAGCTGTAAAAAAGTAACCTAACTTCAGTCTTCATTACCAAAGATGCTGTTTCCCCACTTTAATTAATCAATGTGTTCCCATAATATTAGTTAGCTTAAATTTGCTACTCATTTCTGCCTTCAAAAGATTGCTTTGAAAAGTGTCTCTGTGTTTCCCCTACATGTGGTTTGTGGTTTTTTTTATACTATGCTTCTTCACATACTTTGTTTTCTTAATGCAGTTTGCTGTTAAAATTGACCAAGTTGAAGATTTCCTGAAAAATGCCCCAGAGTTTGACAATATTGACTCTTTAAGAGAACTCCTTCTGCAACAAGAGCATCATACGAAAGGTACAAAAACTATTCCGCTACTAATGATGTGTGATTTCGTGTTGAATCCTTGAAGGATGATTTTACTTTTCCTGTGTGTATTTAAAAAAATAAAATAAAATCTTAGAACAAATATGAAAGTTTTCTATTTGAAAAAATAGAACTGAAATAGCTCTTTAACAGGTCTCCTGAAAGATATGATACTTCCGGTTTTAAGCTAGCTCTCTCATACATAGCTCCATCTTTGTTGCTACAGAGGAGCTAGTGGTAAGCTTGTATCCAATTTTAAGGCAGTCTAGGTCGGGTGAGTCACTAAGAAACCAAGCTGACTTTCAGTCCTGATTGGCAAGCAAGTTCTAAAACCATTCTTCTGTTCCATGGGAAAATTCATCAAAGTTATCATAGCTATTAATGAATTAAGTTTCCTCTATGGAAAACTTTCCATTAGAAAATTTCCCATCAGCTCTGTTAACAATCCCCTGCAAAGTCCTATGGTTTCTTGAGAGTGGCCAAGGAGCAGTCTGCTGTCTGCTTTCCTTTTGTCTAGAGATGGGATTTGAAGTAGAAGTAGTGAAGTGAAGGGTGGCAGCTGTGAGATAGAGGTGGCAACTAGTCAGCTTCAGAATCTATTTGCCTACAGTGGTTCCTGCATTTTGCTCTGCCTTTGAGGAGTGGAACTTTGTTTCACTTCCCCATTGAGCTGCCCTATCTGTTCCAAGAGGTTCTGCAGCTAGAACTGTAACACTTGGGGGAAAAAAGGTGCTTTCTCCCCTTCCACCACAACTTTCTTGCACATATCTAGAAAAATTAATAGAAAAATTATTTATTATCTAGAAAAATTCTTCAATGTGATGACTTTTTGTTAATTCAAATTTTCTTGTGAAGCATCTTCTACCAAATTGTGGTAATTGTAATTCAAAAGGGGAAAAAAACCCCACATTTCAAACCCAATCTCATATTGTGGCTACTTCAGTCACCTTTGCAATTCTATATGGTTCTGTATTTTTTATAAGACTTAAGACTACTTACTGAATTTTATCTGCACTTTAGAGGCAATACTTCTATGAAATTTTGCTATAAGATTACTAACAACTAGCAGAATATCAATTATACTTTATTATTCATTAGTGAAGTATGATGTTAGATATTTTTAGCAACCTTGAATGCTATGTATTCTTCCAGGGAATCGGAATATAGTATTAAACTTGAGTAACTCATTAGAGTTTTGGGGCTTCCAATTCAATCTTCAAGGGAGCAAAGTTCTCACTGTATAGCAATTTTAACCTGAAATATCTGCCAGTAATTTATTGCTGAAAGGAGGTCTGTAACTGTAAGAATCATATGAAATGGTTTGCCAGAGAGAGACTGAGCATTTCCTCTGATGAGGAAAGTGGTTGCAATGGATTGGCTTCTTAATCTATCTTAACCACATCAAATTTGGAAAACTGATATTGAGCTATTTGATAAAATATTGTATTGCTTTCTGCAAGAGGGATACTATCTACCCTCACTCCAAAGTAAGGTGGCTGAAAGTACCACCTTTACAAAGTATTGGGTCTACCAGTATGTGATTAATAGTTTATCACAAATGTTTATCACAAAAAAAAATATTTTGAAACAACAAATGCATTTCAATCAGAATAAAAAAGTTAAAAAATATTAATTATCCTCATTTATCCATTTTTATATCTATTCTATTTTGGATGGACTGAAGTGGAACATTTCTGATTAATACCACTTTTCTGGAAGGCAAAAAGTAAAATGGACAGGCTTGTTGCAGTGAGTTCATGGAAACCAAACTCTCTTCTTAGCCTTTGGTGGCTGGAGAAATGGAGACATTCCACTTCTGCATATTCCCTAGTTGCTCCACAGGAAAGGTGGAGGTTTAGGCTGCTTTGTCTTGAGTTACTAGTACATGTACTCAGCTGGGAAGCTGAATGTTTCAGCTGTTTGCTGCTTGTTGTTGATTGCTTCACTAGCAGCTCCCTGGAGCATTCCTTTCTATTACTTTCCTTCATGCCTACCTTGCCTCTTATTCTGGCAAGTTTTGTCTCAGAGGCTCTCTCAGTACACTTTTATATGTGCATATATGTACCATTATAGGTGTACCTTTGTAAGTTTATATAACAGCTGCCTAAAATGAAGTATCTTAGGATATATACCTCCTAAAGTAAGTATTTAAAACCTATTCATGCAGTGCATAAAAATATATTATGCTCATGTATGCAAACAGATAGGTGGTTTTGAAAACACTCAGGTAATATTTGAAATATGCTACTAGAATTATAAAGTTGTTTTTTTTCTTCCTTCTTCCTATAAAATTCTGTCCTTATAGAGCTTTTGGAAAAGTCACTTGCACTTTTAAACAAAAGCCAAGAGCTAACTGAATTCATAGAAGAATTCAAACATGAGGGGCCAAATGCAAATCCAGAGCTGATTCAGGGAGCCCACAGCAGCTGCTTGAAAATTGACAATCTCCTTGAAATGCTACAAGACAGGAGACGGCAACTGGACAGGTTTCTTAAACATCAGCGCCAAGGACTGGAGCAGGTTCTGCAAATTTTTTTGTGGCATCAACAAGAGAACCAGGTAAAATACATAATACTAAAGTCATCGTAAAAAAAAAGTAGCAATTGTTTTATAGTAGAGACTATTACAGAAAAGGAGCTTAAATATATTTATAAGGTTTTGTACCTTCCAGTCTAACAAGACTAAAGCTGAATTATCTTGAGGGTTTTGTAAATAGGCTAAAATTTTGTATGGACCTCTGACAGAACAGTTTTGATTGATTGTGGTAATTCTGTAAGATTCCTTCTTTGCCTCCAAAATAAAGTTCCTCCCTATATTGGAGGAAAATGTTAGAAACTTTTTCTGTAAAAACTAACTTTGCTGGTGAGGTTGTTTAAGATGAGAAGCACCTTATTCAACAAGCACAAATCATTGTAATTTTGCATAGAGATAACAGAATTGTTGAGGTACACAAGCAAACTGACAGCCTTATTTCTTGAGCACTTAATATCAGTAGGTGCCAGAAACATAGCGAGAGCTGCTGATTTAATGATTAGATAGAAAAAACCCAAACAACCAGGTAAAAATAGTACGGTCTTGTGCAAGTGTCATAATCTCAGTATGTAGTTATAAAATAACAGCTAACAAAAATACAGAAAAACAAGAGTATAGGAGACTATCAGTTTCTGTGAAAATCATAAGAACCATATATGCTTGCTTAGGAATACATATTATTGCTGCTGTTGCTGTTTTTGATTTTTTTTCCAGTATCACCATATTGCTATATCATAAAAGAAAGATCCTCAAACAGAAATGTTGTTTCAATATAATATGTTCTCATAAATTTACGACAGCTACAACTGAACTTTTAGTATCAATCTACCTTGCTCTATTGGAAATATGTCCTATTTCATCAAAAAAAAAAATGATCCTTTCTTTACATTAAAAAGTATTAGATATTACTACAATTACCTTAGCATGCCAATGTTATTCCACAGTATACAAATATGGAGGGACATTCAAAATGGAAACATTTTGGAAATACTTTGCCCTTGAAGAGTAAGGGATGAATATGTAGGGTTTGTTTGGGAGCCAACCACACTTCTTCAAAAAACAAACAGACAAACCTCCCCCCCACCAAAAAAAAAACCCAACAACAACAACAAAAAAAAACCACCAGAAAAAAATCACCTAGGAGAAAAAAAAAATCACATGAGGAGAAATACACAGCAGTAGCTAATGTGTAGATAATTGTCTAAACATGGACTGTATCTGCAGGTGGTGTGTTCTTTGCTATTTTTTTTTTTCCAATTGGTGGTACTCAGCATAATGCTGCTACTGACAGCTAGAATGAAAACACTGAGTTTATCTCAGTTTGGGGGAATATCTGAAGATTGTCATCTAATGCATAACACTATTTGTATCATCAAAATGTTGTATGAAGTTTCTCTGTGAAGTTTTGGCTTCATGTTTTATTACAGCACATTCTGCAAAGGCTTTTTTCATGAATATCATAAATAGTATTTTACAATGAGCATTGACATTTAGACCTAAATGGGCTTAAGTTATTGCCCTGGGTCCTTACATTGCCCTGATTCTCCTCCCCATCCCTCCGGGAGCTGGGGGAGGAAGGAGGAGGGGAGTGAGCGAGCAGCTGCCTGGTTCTGGGTTGCCGGCTGGGTTTGAACCATGACGGTTTCTGAAAACTCTATACAATCAGATCAATTTAAGATTACTTTTCTAGTTAATTCTGGTGAAATCATGGTGCCACTGAACTTAGCAGCGATTTTGCCAATGTTTTAATTATGGCCAATGCCTCTCCTCCATGTTTTTCCAAATGTCTGATCTCCTCACCTGTTTCTCCTGATAGTGATAACTTAATTGCTCTTACTACTCCCGCATATATGGGCCAACTTAATTAGATTCCCAGACTTGATCCTATGTAAAAAAAGCTCCACACCTTGAAACCAAATGAGTTTCTGACATCCTGTCAAACTCGCTCCATTGTCGGTCAGTTATAATCCTTCCTAAGAGTGAATGTATTCTTGTTAAAGTATGTATGTACCTATATGGATTATTTGGTTTTAATATTCACAACTGAAATGATTACTCTTGTTAGCTAATATTCTAAACAAGTTCTGCTTTTGGGAATACTGTGTACACAAAGTCCTTTCACAAAAAAAAAAAAAAAAAAGGCTGAAAAAACCCCAGTGCTTGTGTCTACATAGACAAAGAAACTTCATAAACGAAGAGGACTGTTCCACTATAACTTCAATGCTTTTATTGACTGGTATGCATCACCTTTAGTGGTGTTTGGGTTTTTTATTTCCAGGGACTTTTACAGTCTTTCACAAATATGGTATAACAAGACACTAGTAGCTACTCTGGGACAATGCAATACTGATACTTAGTTCTTTTCCCATAAAAGATTATTTTATTATTCCTTTTCTTTATAAGGCTGTATTTGATCATAGAAAAATCACTAAAGCCCAGACTTTAACTTGAAGTTCTGCATTTTTCTTTAAATATGTGTCTGTGGTCCCATTTTACCCTAAATTGTTATCAATGAAATTATTGCTCCACTGCCAATGTTGTGAAGATAAATGCATTGAGGATTAGGGAAGGGCTTAGGTAGTATTGTTATGAAGAGACTGAAATATCCCCGGGATGAACCAAGGCAGATCTGTATTGTCATGATGATGTCTTCACATACTGATGATAAAAATATTATTTGAGGTTTAAGGTAGTAAGTAAAGCATCAGCCACTCAAGTACAGTGATTATTGTAATGAAACCCCTCCCCCCCAACCCCACCCTGTCTGGCATTTAACCAAATTGGCTTATGATGAATGTACAGGAGAAATCGAGACTAGCTTATTCTAAAGTTCAGAGTAAGCATGTCAAAATATAGAGTGTGGGCTGATTGAGTTCAAACTCCCTGAGGTAAGCTCAGATTTAATTTATGGCATATAGGTATGTGTGTTTTAGTACACATACACAGGAATACAGGAAGTAAGGGAGTGAAAACCAGTTTTTCCTAGTGGGAATAATTTATAGAAAGAAAAGTGCGTTCCTTCTTAATTTCTGTTTTCTACTGTATCTGCCCCTCTCTGTAGTTGTGCCAGACACAGCTGGTTCCAGTCAGCTTTACAACTACTCCACAGAGCACAGCTGACCCCAACAGCTTTGCTGATGGGACCTCTGTTAAAATGTATTTAAGAAAGGATAAAACACTGCACAGACATAGTGAGGAGTGAGGGGAAATAAAAAAGAACATAAAAAAATCCTGTGAACAACAAGGTCAGTGAAGGAGGAGGATGGGGAAGAGGTGTTCCAGGTACTGGAGCAAGTATTCCCATGCAGCCCATGTACGTTTTGGAAGAGGCTGCACCACAGCAGGCATTCCCTCCACCCCAGTTCTTTTATTTGTAACTGAAAATGTTTACAACACATTTTAAAAGTTCTTTCATTTTTAGAATTGGTTAAATGTATTAGAAATATCTTCTACATGAACAGATAAAACAAAAACATCTGTAGTGTGCTATTAAAATCTGTAGCACGTAGCATATGAAGTAATTCTTAGTATGCCATATACAATTTAAGTATAGTGGTGATTTTCCAGACTAAAAAGGTTGGAGGAAGTCTCTTTGATATTAATAACTCACTCAGACTACTCTTTTAAAATGCAAAGCTTCACTCAGGAGTTCTTGCCATGTGCTGTTTACAAAGAAAGTGAGAGGTACCTACTATGAATCAAGCAGAAACAAATGCAAGTTATTCTGTGCAGTTTAGAAGATATAGCTCATATGTTTGCTCCATATGCTTGCTGAAGTAAGTCTAGGAAAGGGATAGTTTTAAGTTAATGTGATTCTATGAAAAATGTGCAGTATCTTTACCATGTTATAAAACATGCATTTATTCTATGTGGGATTATATCTTGATTTTGCTTTTACTGTGTTAATTTATAATTTGGTCGTACTGGATGAATACTTTTTTTGTCTGTTTCGTTACATATATTCCAATAAGTGCTTGTTTTAACTGCAATCCTTCCCTTCTGCATTTATTAACATTTTAAATTATACAAATTGAACAAAAATGTGAACATTAGGAGTGAAAAATGATAGGAATGAAAATTACGGCTTCTTTTGTTCTTGTAACTGTGATACATGTTTAAAAAAATGGACAGTAACTTTTCAAAATTTTCACTGACTGAATTCTTTATTACTTAGGTAACATCCTGGTACAAGAAAAACATCAGAGATTATTTTCACAAGCAAAACTTAGGCTCATCTTTATTGGAAAATGAAGAGTTACTTCAAGAGCTTGAAGAAATGGAAGTCAAAGTGAAAGTAAGAAACATAATGATTGATCAGTGAAGCAATTTAAAAATGAATAGCAAAAAATGAACTTGGGCATTTAATAAGCACATATAGGAGTAGATGGTATTTGTGCATAAGACACGTATTTCTAAATGCCTAAGGAGATTTTTTTTATTTTACTACTTTTAATGCAGACCTCCATGTTTGTTAGTGTTCTTCTCATTTAAAACTTTAAAAGTTATTGATAAGGTAAAAGAGGAGTAATCCTTGATGTTGTCTAGTTGTTTTTTCAATTTAGTGATAAGTTCCAGACTGGTAGTTTACATATTAAACCATGCTGCAAAAAAAAAAGCAATTTTATTAGAATATTACAAAATTTTAATGTTCATGAAGGATAAAATGCCAGCCACTTCTACCACAATTTATTGTTACTGAACTATGTACAGGATTAGAAGAAGTATTTACTCATTTATTTCTTGGGAATAAAAGTAATAAAAAATAGTATTTTTATTGTGAATATCAGTTTTTGAGAAAATGAATCTCTTACTGTCACTCGTAAAAGCAAGATGTGATTGAAGGAAATGTTGATACATACATATATATATGTATATAAAAACCAGATATTTATATGACCTAAATTGCATATATTTAGAATCTTTTTCGAGATACCTCAGTTGTGCTGTCATCAGGTACGTGCTGTTCCTGGGCCAGGATCATTCCTCACTGTATGATTTTCAACAGTCATGTTCGGCTCTTGTGTTGATAGCAACTATCAGGTTTATGACTCTTCACAGTTATGTTTCCTTGTAAGCTTTGTAGTTGAATATCAGATGTTTGCCTGTTTGCATAATTCACAGTTAACTGCTTCAGGGTTGTCATGTATGCAGAATAATATTTCTAATGCTTCTCCAAGCAGCATGTCGGAAAACACATTTTCTTCATCTAGGGAAGACTAGCATGAAGAACTAAATTCTGTTGCAAAGCCTGTACAGACCTTTGGCACAAGGAAATCACAAGATAACCAGTAAATGAGTAATCTGTGTTTCCAGAGAAAGAGGGACATATAGAAATACTTGAGGTGTCCTAAAGTATTGATGAATTTTAGAACTAGCCAAATGATCATTAATCTTCCCTACGTTCTGTACTGAAAGGCTATTCTTGTAATTTGCTGTCTGAATTAGTAATGATACTGTAAGTGCAGAAAGGAGAACAACATGCATTATGATTTTGTTTAATAATCCTTTTCATGGTTGAACATCCAGAACCTAATTTATAATGATAACACTTACTATTACATTTTCACCTAACAATTCTTCTCCCATTATCTT